TTGGCTGTCACTCAGCTTTAATGCTTTGGTGTAACAACAAACAGCGCCTTGTATGTCTCCTGCCTTGAAAAATGTGTTCCCCTCCTCCTTAAGGGCTGCAGGATCCTGGGTTAAAGAGAAAAAGTAGACGACAGACATGATGCTTCGAGGAGTATGTACCTGGACGCAATCTGCTAAACTATAAGCTAAAAAGGCTATGTAGCCCCTTGCTGTTACCTTACCTTTTCTTTTTCACTCACACTCATCTTCAAGTTGCTACAGAGCATACAGCGTTACGTAGTGTGGTGAATAAGTAGTTTAATTTCACTCTGCTTGATCACTAACAACGCTAACTTCAGCCAAACATGTTACGTCTTGCAACGCTTCCGGGTGTCCAGGAGCACGTTGATGACGTTTAGATGACAGCCCCGCCCCTCTCCCCACGCTGCATTACCATAAAAGGAAGAGCGGAGCCAGAGCATGTCAGTCTCCATCTCTGCTTTATTTGGTAACATTTGCATTCTGTGCCTTTCTTCAGTCCACACAGACACAGAGGGGCTGATAGTGTTATAAAATAAGAGGTTATGTAATAGCTAGCAATTAAAATTTGTGATGCATTCTGATGGAGGAAAGTAGTTTGATGTTTCAGGGGGTCTAAATGCTTAGTATGAGATGAGATGGCCAGAGGCCTGAGGTTCTTTTCAGTGTTTTTAACTCTCTTGTTAACCCTCGCGAATCAGAGGGTGTTGTGCCATCTACAATTTTATGTGAAAACTTCCTGAAATATTTTATTGACAAAATTGCTGGTCTTAGCTTTTCACCCACTACATTTACCAGTGACCCCTCTGTTCCCCCTGGCTGCCCAGCTGTCTTCCTGCAGTTCGAGCCGGTTACATTCCCCCTTCTTTCTGACATCAACAACTACGTCCTGCAAACTGCCCCCTTGACAGTATTCCTGCACGCTTTTTGAAAGATGTTTTTAACACTGTTGGATCAAGCATTGTTGCCTTGGTTAATACATCTCTCAGCTCAGGGTGTGTTCCAGCTGCTTTCAAATATGCAGTTGTGCAACCGCGTTTAGAAAAGAAGAATCTGGATACTTCAAACCTCTCTAATTTTAGACCTATCTCTAAGCTCCCCTTTTTGTCAAAAGTCTGAGAGCCTTTGATATGGTTAACCACTCCATTCTCTTATCCCGACTCGAACAGTGTGTCGGCATTAGGGGCACAGTCCTCAAATGGTTTAAATCATATCTGGCGGATAGAAGTTTCTCTGTTCACCTCTGCAAATTTTCTTCATCTGCTGCCCCTCTTTATTGTGGGGTCCCCCAAGGGTCCATATTGGGCCCCATGCTTTTTTCACTGTACATGCTGCCATTGGGATCCATTTCCAAAAAATACAATATCTCCTTTCATTGCTTTGCAGACGATATACAAATCTATTTACCTGTAAAATCTAATGATAAAGCTGCAACTCAGTCCTTGCTCAACTGCCTGAGAGATCTTAAAATATGGTTGAATCAGATCTTTCTCTGTCTGAATGAAAGTAAGACTGAGGTTGTTGTGTTCAGTCGACCTGGGGATTTAAGTGCTTGTGTAGATGATCTTGGTACTTTAGGAATGTATAGTCGTCCATTTACAAAGAATCTAGTAGTGATCTTCGATAGTGCTTTTAAATTTGAAATACAGATTAGTTCTGTAGTAAAAGCCAGCTTCTTTCAGCTGAGACTGTTGGCCAAAGTCAAGCCCTACCTGCCACGCAAAGACTTTGAAAGAGTAATCCATGCATTTATAACGTCTCGACTAGACTACTGTGATTACAGTTAGTCCAGAATGCAGCAGCTCGACTTCTAACTGTAAGTAAAAAGCGTGAGCACATTAACCCTGTTTTAGCCTTGCTCCACTTGCTTCCTGTCCGCTTTAGGATTGATTGTAAGATTTTATTGCTTGTCTTTAAATTTTTAAATGGGTTGGCACCTTCTTATTTATCAGAACTTTTACATATACACAATCCGATCAAAGCACTGAGGTCATCCAATGAGATGCTCCTCAATGTCCCCAGATCCAGGCTAAAAACTAAAGGTGACCGAGCCTTCTCAGTAGCTGCTCCTAATCTTTGAAACACTTTACCTGTAGAAATAAGAAATGCCCCGACTCCTGACACTTTCAAATCCTTGCTAAAGACGTATCTTTATTCATTGGCCTTCAAACAGAGTTGAGTAGTGACATTTATTTTATTTTTTACTTTTTCTACTGTTGTTGTCATGTATATTTGTTGTCTATTGTGGAAAGCACTTTGGTCAACTAGTGTTGTTTTAAATGTGCTATATAAATAAACTTGAACTTGAACTTGATGGTTAAACCTTAGTAATGCATGATATTTTATGAGCATATCTTATGTATATTTTGGTAATAATTTCTAATAAATTTGCTTAATAAATCATTTAATGACTTCAGCTGGTTGGACTGTTGACCACTTATCTGGCCAAATCCATTCACTGACAACCCAGTTAACATTTACGTCTGCAGATTTACTTAATGGATATCACAGCTGTGTTGTATGGCTCATTAGAAAGTGAGAAACCACGAGCATCTATTGATGGATTATCAACAATATCTTATATCTGTGCTGTAATCAAACACAAAGAATAAATACTGGTCAAAGTTCTTTTTTTCACAACCTGGCAACCCAACAGTTGATTGATAAAAAAATCTATAACGAATTATTGAATAATTTATTAACCATCGCTGAAGTCCCTGTAGCCTGCACTGTTTGTAAAGGGTACCTTTACCATGTTAGTTTAAATGTATAGTTCAAGAAGCCAAAAAGACTAGATACACTAGATTACACTAGATAACATATACAAACATGTAATGCAAATACAACAAATCACAAATCCACCAATTTCACATACGTTTAATACAAAATTAGGGGGACCAACACACTGTCTCACGTATAATAAACTTGATACAATAAAATAGCTAGAAGCTACACCTGCTGACAAATGTAGTGGAGTAAATATCCTAATATTTGCTGAAATGCAGTAAAATATAAGGTGTCACAAAATAGAAACGCTCAAAATAAAGTGCCTTTACATCAAACTATGTAGGCTACTACTAAGTACACTTTAAACTATGTACTGTACTATAGACTTTATAGGAGATGGGGGTGGGGGGACACATTGCATTTTGAGTCTCAACATATGAGCTTCAATATGTAAAGTATATTGGCACAGTGTTTCCCTTCAGGTCAAAACTACAAGTTTCCTTGTATAGAATTTCCTTCATCAGTCACCTGGGGATTCTCGTTTACCAGGTCAGCTGTTGTTGTGTTTCTTTTGTTGCTGTGGAGACAAGGTGGTTTCCTATGGGCCTTGCGCTCAGGTACACTGGTTAATACCCGCATTTTACCAAGGCAACTTTGCCACTTATATAATAATATCCAGTATGAACAGCTGGTAAATATGTCCTAAGGGCTGGGCTTTCTGTGAAACCTCATACATACCAGATCCACAGGAGATCCACAAGGCTCAGCGACAGGGACCGAAAGAGCAGTCACAGTCTGAAATCAAAACCAAAACCAGCTGTGTAAACATTTGTTCCTTTACATGACTTTGTTTCGTGAGAGATTATGTTTTCAGAACGGGATCTGTCACTGCTGGTGTAGTTTCTGGTACCAAACTTATTTTTAACTCTCAAACATCTTATTCATACACAGCATTTTCCATGGTTTTGTAGCTCCAAATGAAAAGTTATCAGTCTCTTGTGATTAGAACAAAACCAACACCATCTGTTACTGTCATGTCCCACGCAATCTGCTAATTAATTATTGAGGTGTCCGCTAAGCTCCTGTTTCCATAAACACGTAAAGAGTTCCTGAATTAATCAGTCAATCAAAAGAACACAACAATGTGACTCATATACATAGCATTATTACTTTTTCCACACTGGGCTTTTTCCTCAGGTGTTGTTTACCTGCACAGTGGTATTCACTTCTCTGCAGCATTTATTTAACCAGGCAAATTGGTTAAGAACAAAATACTCAAGATGTAAAAAGGGGTCAGTTTTTCTGTGTTCTAACTAAATCAAATTAAGTTATTCTGTGTGGCCTTTTTGCCTTTTAGCCTTGTAACAAGAGTAGTACACTGGTCTTACTCACTGGGACATGTGTAATGGTCCATGTTATCTAATGTTTGGACTTCTGTATTTTGGACTCTGTCTAGTGTATCAGAGCTGATGATTAAACCAGAAGCAGTTGTGACATTATCACAGACTGCACAGCCCAAACACGAGCAGCACGAGCTTCTTCTCCCTCATTATTCTGCACTAAAAACAACAACAGCCACACACATACATTTTAATCAGTGATGAAAGTTTTAAGTGTGAATATTTCTTTTGTAGATGCATAGCCATTGTATTAACAATAATAAAATTACTGACACTGTCCCAGAACTGCTGAGTGCATTGGTCGAAATATTACAATGATAGATTAGCTATAAGTTTTATAACTAACTGGGTCGTATTAGACATAAGCTCAGGGCACATTTCCTGTGTGACAAGACGTGCTTTGATCTGTTTACTGTGTTGTGAGCAATTAAATGTTATATTCACTATGTTTTTGTAATAACGCTGTTATCTGTTTCATAGTTCAACACATGGCCTGATTGAGTCCTTATAATCATACAATAATAATTCAGTAATTTATAAACTTATGTTGCATTGCAGATTACATCTACCCACTGCATTTATTAGTCGAGAAATTAAAGGGTGCATTTATTTTACCATCTCCTCTCTTCCCATAAGCCTTTGCAGCAGCTCAGTGGCGTTAGCTGCTATGCTAGCTGGTTCAGTTAGTAATCTGTCAGCTAAAGGCACGTACACTGCTGGGCTCTACACTCTTCTGGATTACTCCCCTTTAATGGGTAACGTCAGATTTGTATCATTTTGTTCACAAAAGAGACATACTCCCAAGGTTGTAAATGATCTTCTTCGACGTTTTGATGAAAAGTGAAAGGTTAGCCAGGAAAAAACAGTCACGTATTGTCTTATATTATGTCTTGTTGGTGATCAAGCCAGTACTTGCTGGCCGATGCTATCGGCTGTAAGTTAACCGTGTAGCACAGTCTTCTCTCGGATGCAGAAAGGCAGCTGGGACTGCTGCTCACCTAACGTTAGACTTATCAGTGAAATGACAACCCTTATAATAACGTTGTCTGAGTCTTGACGCTAGCTCGCAAACCAGTCGAGTTGATGTGGTAAGGAACATCTGGTAAATTAGCTAGCGCTAGCTTGTTTAGCTGCATATTCGAGATATCTAGTTAACCGGGATTAAAGTTTGGCACAGTACGTTAATGTGGCTAATGGGTTAACCAGATACATTCATTAACTAGCTGCCTTGTATCTGAGCTTACACCGGATAAAGTCCAAATGCAAGTGCTCTTAAGTTTGAAGCAGCGCAATGTTGCCAGCGATTACGTTAGCTAACTAACTAAGTCATCCAAGTTAAACCTTAACAGAGGTACCACCTCTTGGATCCATAACCCGGCGATTACCAAATGATGTTCAGAGGAATTTGACAGTTTGCGTACGAGATTGTGTATACTGAGGAATGTTTCCCCTGATGCTAATGTGCCATCATGTGAGCAGCTTGGGATCTGTGGTATTCACGTTTTATAACATAAATGAAAGGCTGTAGTAGGTTATATGTCAGGCACCCCGACTAACAAAACCTTTAATTTTGGATATATTCATCGGATGGTGTAAGAAATTGTCGTCTTCCTGCTGACAGCGAGGCTATTTTTCAGTCAGTCTAAGCAAATGTAAGTGCCAGGTTATTATCCCAACTCCCCGTGGTAATGCTGAGGTATTCCCAGCCTTAGAAGTGAGCGGATTATGATCATGTTGGATTTGCACACGGTTGAAAACAGGAACACATATTAGTTGCTGTGAGGAAACACTGGCCACTGCGCTCAGCTTTATATTTGTTCTCTTCCTCTTCTTCCTGGTTGACTTTACTTGTCAGATCAAAAAAGTAGTCTCTCTCTCTCTCACTCACTCTCTCTCACACACACACACACACACACATACACACACACACACACACTTCCTTTCCGCTTGTGCTTTATGCCAGTGACAGTCCTTCTGTGGATGGCTGAATACATAATTCCTGCATGCCCCATTAATCTAAAATTTTCCTAACAGCTGAAGAAGACCCTCTGATGTGATTTCAACTTGGCGCTTGTGACCAGAGGAGGACGCACTGCCCATGCTGCCACAGTAGATAGGCTGTCACTATGCTGCTGAGAGAAGAATGACATTTGTCTCATTTTAATTCCTGGAGCTCCTTCGGGCAGAGTTGAGGCTTGATTAAAAAGCTGCTGTTCTGAGCCAAGTTGGTCTTTTTTCTCAGCCCGTTTCTTTGCACTGCCGCAACCTAGTGTGCAAACTGTTATGTGACTGCAGGCCAACTGAGCAAAAGGGACTCCGGCCGTACTGGAGGATTAGACGGTGCTGTGGGAGTAGGGACTGGACCAGGAGAACAGGCCCACAGCAACACATCATGCCGCAGGGACACTAGGCTCCCTGTTTGAGCCCCTTCTGTCTGGCGCTATTTTTTTCTTTTCCTGCAGTCTCATCGGTTTGGATGGTTGAGCACAAGGGCTACTTTGAAGGAGCCCACCGGTGGCTGTGGTTTGGCCCAAGTTGACAGACTAGCTTGCCAGCTATTGCTTATTAGGAACCCTTTTCCACTGCTACCACTGCTGTAGCCACCTTTGCTGTGATCTTCAGTATGGTGAGTGGAGGCATCTCAGGAATGGAACTGAAGCATTAATACTGGTGTTGCTGGTTACTTTCCATCAATCCCCCCCCCCTCTGCACAGTGACATATTGAATTCTGGGTTTTTTAAGGGCTGTTTTCTCCGTGCTGGAAAAAACATCACCGTCAAGGTCATTTTTAAAATTTAAACACCGGAAAGAAGACCACACAAGAGGAGGATGAAGCTGAGGAAGCAGGTGACGGTGTGTGGAGGGGCCATATTCTGTGTGGCTGTATTCTCACTGTATCTGATGTTGGATCGAGTCCAGCATGACCCTGCAAGACGACAGAGTGGCGGGAACTTTCCACGGGTAAGAGTAATCGCTGTAGCGGTGGTGCATATCCGGTGTTATTTTTGTTGTGAGACACCAGAAGTTATTACAAGGCTTATATGTATTATTTTTTTGTAAATACACATGTCCAAATACGTATCTATCGTTGTCTAGATATCTTTAGGGCTGATTGATCTCATACTGCTATTTCTTACATTTTCTGTATCAGTAGATTTGTCTTTAAAACCAAGGCGTGTCCATAATCCAAGGAAGGTTAAAATCAAGGGCATCCTTGGATAACTATGACCTGGATGACTGAGAACCTTCACAGACATATTTTATGATGTTCTGCAGCTCTGTGATTTTTTTTTTTCTGTTTGTTTTTTAGAGCCAAATCTCAGTTCTGCAGAACCGGATAGAGCAGCTGGAGCAACTCCTGGAGGAAAACCACCAAATCATCAGCCACATAAAGGACTCTGTGATGGAGCTCACAGACACAGGAGCCGTGTCTCCCAGTGGCCACCTGCCATTCAGAAGTGCCAATGGTTCCTGGGTCTTACCCTTTGATGGCCGCCCTACTTTCCTTGCTGTCAAGCCCCAGGATTGCCAATTTGCTGTAGGCAGCCGAGGTCAAGCAGATGTTCAGGTGAGCTTACTGTACTACTAGTTTTTCCGTTAGATGAAATGCTAAGTAGCTAATAGGCCAAAAACATTATCATATCTATGTTGTAGATGTGAAGGAATTTTAGGGGTACTATGACACCCCAGGTCATGTTAGGGTCAATTGCTGAGCTAAAGTAAGCCAAAGGTGACAGCCAGCGACCCTCCAAAACAGTAGGTCAGACATATTCTCCTCTCTGTCTCTATGCAGAAAGTGTTGCATGTGGCTTGAATGACACACAACGTAACTTTAGGTTAAGCATAGTGTCTTGTTTTAAACCAATAACCAGTACAATCTTAACTCATGTATAGATGGGTGAACAGTAACCTTATTTGGACATTTTTAGTGAATTATTTTTAGTGAATCTCTTTAGGTCTAGGAAGGATAAATATCCCCAGACAGGAAGTATTCTTCAGACTTTGCATGTTGTATGCTGGCACTGTATCTCCTCAGCCTGGCGAGATAAAGAAATGCTGTGTAAGTCTTTATCACACCTGTTTTTTCCCCTTTGATTTTCATTTTAGATGCTGGATGTGTACTCCCTCCTCAAGTTCGACAACCCTGATGGTGGCGTATGGAAACAGGGCTTTGACATTACTTATGAACCCGAAGAGTGGGACAATGAACCGCTGCAAGTGTTTGTGGTCCCACACTCCCACAATGATCCAGGTAAGAGGGCGTAACACACGCAGTCTTGTAGTCTCTGTTTAAACTGTATCCTAATACACATCCTAAAGCATGTCTGAATACGTTTTTCCCCAGCAGGTTAATAGCGTCTTGTCTGTAGACAAGCCAGCTTACCTGAGTGGGAGGCTAGTGATTGGGAAGCAGAAATCATACAAAATTTGGTTCATTCATTCTCATTATTATTAGCATAATGCTGACATGATTGACAGCTTAGCCACAAACAATGGAATTAGACAGATATTTGCATTGGAAAACTCTAGCTATTTATAGGATTGGATTGGCTGAGATTTTATTTTAGACTGACATTTCCATTAAACTTGTTTACCAGGCTTCCACATGCTTACTAACTTGACAGTTACAGTTATTGATATGTTGACAGGCTGCAGAGACCTGCAAATTGTGTCCATCAACAATAGGAATAGCCTTCATTTGGGGATGCATTTGATTAAACTCTGCTGCAAAGTTTAGTTATTTTTTATGCAGCATTGAGGGTCTAGGGTTAACAGACGGTTCAGCTCACACTGAAGACATGTGAAAGCTGGTTTAATGATATTAGGCTCATTCCTTTGAATGCAAAGAAGGGATTTTAAGGGTTTTAGTCAACTACAGGTAAGCAGGGCAAACAATGAGGAACAAAATATTAAAGACTGCAGTAAATAGTCCTGTCTATGACCTCTGGTTCACTTAACTATCACCACTTCAGGGCCATTCCTTATAACATGTGTTACTTTAATCTTTATAAAATATATTGGCCTCCAATATGTGAGATAAGTATTTGACAGGACATGTATATGCTGTGGTATTCTACACTGTTGTACACAAAAAGTGCATAGAAAGTGCTTTTTAGTCACTTTCTTTGAAACCACTCTGTGAAATAGCTTTCTGAGGGGAACAGCTCTACTTGAATAAAATATGAGTTTTATTTTTGATCCGTTGCAGCACTTTTTCCACAGCGCCGAGTCTCTAACCTGCCCTGTCGTCTTGTCTTTGTATCAGGCGGCTAGATAAATGGAGGAGGGGGGTTGTAGAGGTGTATTGTTTCAGAGATGGATCCAATTTGCAGTGGACGGTTGTGGTTGCCAACTGTTGTGCAAGTTGCTCATATTTACCTTCTTGTCTTGTTAGGGTGGATCAAGACTTTTGACAAGTACTTCACAGACCAGACGCAACACATTTTAAACAACATGGTGGTGAAGTTGGCCGAAGATCCTCGCAGGAAGTTCATCTGGTCTGAGATTTCATTCTTCTCCAAGTGGTGGGAGACTGCAGACATACACAAGCAGGAGGCTATGCGCAAGTGAGTCACAGCTAAGTGAAGTGCACATTTTTTGCCTTTTTAATTTCCCCGACTAGCTCTGAGAATTAGTTGAGATTTCTTTGGTGCCTGCTGGCCTCAAGTACAATAGATAATATATCCGCTGGAAGATGGTGGTTGCAATAAAAATACCTTGTTATCAGGTTAATGTGACTGTCCCTCTTTGTGGATGGATTATCCTCACCTCGCTTTCTTAATCTCTCTGTTTAACAGATTGATCCTTGGAGGGCAGCTAGAGATTGTGACAGGAGGCTGGGTGATGACCGACGAAGCCAACGCTCATTACTTTGCCATGATAGACCAGCTCATAGAAGGACACCAATGGCTGGAGAGAAACCTGGGTACGCAGCTACCAGAAATTAATCGTTACTCGAGCCTTTTCATATCTATTAAGATGAATGATGCTTAAATGTTAAATGAACGCTCAGTTCTCTCTGTGTAAATTTCAGCCCCACTACATTCAAGTTAAAGTGATACCTATCCTCTCAATGTTTGTCATCCCTTATGCAGCAGGTGTAGCCTCTCGCTCAGCGGGTGATAAAACACTTTGTGCTACTTTCAGTGCTCCCTGCTGAGGAGAACGATTTTCTAAAAAGATGCATGCCTTCCTTTTCTCTGTGCATAAACCTTCAATACGCTGTCATAGGTGTAACTCCTCGCAGTGGGTGGGCGGTAGACCCTTTTGGACACAGTGCTACAATGCCCTATCTGCTGAAGAAGGCCAACCTGACCAGCATGCTCATCCAGAGAATCCACTACTCCATCAAAAAACACTTTGCCTCCATTCGCAGCCTGGAGTTTATGTGGAGGCAGGCCTGGGGTGAGTGGACCAGAGTCCTCGATGTCATCTGATTCATGTGCTCATCTTTTTGTTAAGCTCATAGCAGAATGAGTAATGCCACTTGTCATGGCCTTTTGGAAGAGAGGGACATTTTGGAAAGACAACCAGTGTGTAAAAGCCTCGCATAGATGATAGCCATCGTCATTTTTTGGACATCTGCTGAAGATGTACTAACTGTTTACTTTTAATGGTAAAAACGTCATTTACATTTTTTGCTGCTTTATCCAGAATGACTTTTGACAGTCACTGTAGGTGTGAACTTAACCTGCCAACAAGCACTGGTGTGTCTTTGATCACACATACCCCTCCTTACTCACACTCAGAGACTGTTGTCAACAATGGATGTCCCTCAAGCCAATGTTTTTTTAAATATGTTTTTTATTTTTTTACTATCCTGCCTTGACAGACACTGGGTCGAGCACAGACATCTTTTGCCACATGATGCCATTCTACAGCTACGACGTGCCTCACACCTGTGGGCCCGACCCGAAGATCTGCTGCCAGTTTGATTTCAAAAGGTTACCTGGTGGTCGGATAAACTGCCCATGGAAAGTGCCACCAAAAACAGTGGTGGAGGCCAACGTAGCAGAGAGGTGAGACATGCGGGGGTTAGTTGTGTCTTACTTTGTATCTGTAACAGAGTGGAAGTGGATGCTGTAGGTCTATCCTGACTTTGTCTTAGAGAACAAATGTTAAGATGTCTATTAGGGCTAGAGCGATATATAGGCTGTTCTGATGTGTCAGCTGAAAATCGATTATTGCAGATATGTGTCTTTATCATTGTAAATTAGATCTGAAAATAGAGCTGAAAAGTCGATTGTTTGTTTGATCGATTGATTAAATCTGCAACAATTTTGATAATCGTTGTAAGTCATTCATTAAGTGAAAAGGCCAAATATTCTGTAATTTCAGCTTCTCAAAGATAAAGAATTGCTTGCTGGTCTTTGTCTTGTGTGATTATACTGTCACATAAGACAAGACAATTGAAGAGTGTCATCTGATGTTGTATAGACCAGTCAATAACCGTGCTCACAGGCTTTTAATCAAAAATGATTGTATGTTACATGTTTATGTAAAGAGGCATATTGGCCTCCAAATTACTCGTCACCTTTTTGTGTAGTATCGGAATTTGATTGCTGCCGTTGCAACTCTGTGTCCCTTACAAATGAACTAAACTTGCACCAATGACGACAGCCAGAGCAGAACAGGCATAGACTGCGGATAGTCTTGCAGCCTTTTAGAGGACCTTTAAAACTTTTCAGAGGACATATTTCAGTGGCTAATGGAAAATACCCCCAGGGTTAATTTAATCCTCCTCTTTCCAAGGTCATAGTGATTTCCTTCAAATCTGGCGCATGCAGAGCAGGACAATTTGGATTTGTGCACTCAGATTCTCCCCCCCCTCTCTCTTTCTCAATCAGGGCAAACCTGCTCCTGGATCAGTACCGTAAAAAGTCCAAACTCTACCGCAGCAAGGTACTTCTTGTCCCTCTGGGAGATGACTTTCGCTACGACAAGGCCCTGGAATGGGATCAGCAGTACATCAACTACCAGAAGCTGTTTGACTACATGAATTCTCACCCAGAGATGCACGTACAAGTGAGAAAATAATTTGTCACAAACAGTGTTGCCAAATGAATGTTTTTTGAATCTTTGTCATTGTTTCTGTACTTCTCAGCGTGCGGTATCTCGGTGTACAACCTTTCTTGTGATAATGAATCATGCAGTGGTATTTTAACTTGCTGACAGAACAAGGAATCTGTCGTGACGTGATGTTTGGTTTAGAACATGCCATGTAAGATGAAATGCGCATGCATAATCATGAGAAATGTCCCCCCCCCCCCCGCCCCTCAGCTGTGTTTGAGTAAAATGTGTTTTTTTAACAATGTGTCATCTGTCTGGCTGCTCCCCCCAGGCTCAGTTTGGGACTCTCACAGACTACTTCAACGCCGTATACAAAGCACACGGAGTGGCTCAGGGATCCAGACCTGCAGACTACCCCGTGCTCAGTGGAGACTTCTTTGCCTATGCAGACCGTGAAGACCACTACTGGACTGGCTATTTCACCTCTCGCCCCTTTTACAAGAGCCTGGACCGTGTGATAGAGTCACACCTCAGGTAGGGCAGATGCAGTCCCGCATCTCTGATAACTGACACCCATAACTTGCGATTTGCATTGCAAATAAGATGCAGTTGTGGAATACTAGGTTAAGGGGCACACATATACCTGCAGTGTCCTTTTTATATAAATTAAAGGCACAATTCAAATGAAAACACATGATTGGAACTTGGCATCACTCTCAAATGGATAGGCAAGTCTTTTGTAACACTAAACAACACCGAAAGTTGTTCTCTGTTTTTCTTTGTCTCTATATTTTTTTTCATATCTGTAATTCTGCAGTTCACTTAACTATCACCATTTCAGAGCCATTGCTTACAGTGATGTGTGTTACATTGTCGATCAAGTGGATCGATATGAGCAAGTTGCTAGGATTAGATTACGGAGCAATAAAATGAAATAGAAATGTTCTAAGGTAGATATTTTCAAAGAATAAGCTGTTGTCTTAAAATAGCGTAATAATTAGCGTAACACACTTTTAGCTGACAAAATGAAACTGCTGTGTCTTACTTTAAAGGGCTCCGCAACACTAACTGTTTGTCAATGTCCTTTCAGGGGGGCAGAGATCCTCTACAGCCTGGCGGTTGCGAACGCCAGGCACGCGGGTATGGAAGGGCGCTACCCTGTCTCAGATTATGCCCTGCTAGTTGATGCGAGGCGGTCTGTCGGCCTGTTCCAACATCATGATGCCATCACTGGCACTGCGAAGGAGAATGTTGTCATTGACTACGGCACTAAGTAAGGATCTGAGGGTTTAGAAAGAAATGACAGTATAGATCGGATGGATTAAATTCTTTACAAATGTAATTTATATGAAGTAAAAAAAACTGTGGCTCCTCTTTATTGTCCTCTGTCTCTGTGCCTATTTTATACTTGCTGTTCAATACTTTGATACAAAATAACAAGCCCTCTGCTGCATTTTGCCAATGATTCTTCCATTTCCCAGATTACTGCGCTCACTCATCGGTCTGAAGAGAGTAATCATCAATGCTGCTCATTTCCTGGTCATGAAGAACAAGGAGTTTTATCGCTTTTACCAAACGGAGCCCTTCCTGGAGACGGTAAGAGTAAACAAGGAGGGTCACTGGTGCCACTGAATAATAATCTGTTTGAAAAACCAGCATATTTTGTTCATTCAGCATTTGGTGTGTTTCGTGTGTTACATTTTTCATTATGTAGGATGACAGGCGCGCCACTCAAGACTCTCTGCCTCAGCGCACTTTAATCGAGCTGGACCCAGCAGGGCCGAGGTATTTGCTGCACCCCCTTGCTGCTTTCATCTCCTCTGCCTCTTCCCTCTGCCGCTCCTCCACCATCCTGTGCTTCTGATTGCTTTTCCCTTCTCTTTTCTACCAGGTACCTGGTTCTGTTCAACTCTATCGAGCAGGAGCGGCTGTGTGTGGTGACTGTGTTGGTCAACACAGTCAGGATGCGGGTGCTTACTGAGGACGGACAGACCCTGCCTGTGCAGCTGAGTGCGCAGTGGAGCTCTGCTAGTCAAATGAGCGCGGAGGTATTTGAGGTAAGAGATTAAATTCATCAGGCACGGCTGGTTTCCGCATAATGAAAATCGCATATCACTAGCACATCAGCAGTGTCTGCACTTGATGTGTTCAGAGAATTGCTGTGCACTCACTCATTTTGACAGCACTCACAGCCCAGTACCATAGTTATGTGCTTTAATTGGAAGAAAATAGACTATATAGAGAGTATAAAGACACTTCAAGTTACAGTTACATGTGTGAGTGAAGCGAGCCGGTGTAGGTAGCTACATTGATAAAAATGTAAGCATTATGTGTTTGTCAGATGGGACTGAGACAGACTACTGAAATACTGGGCTACAACTTGTCCAGTCCAGACAGTTAGCTGGGGGTGTGGAGTTCAGACCTCTGTAGCGCGCTCCCCACCTCTGCTTGAGGCTAATTTAGCTGCAACCCACACAAATTTCCAGCGGCACTGTCTGCAGCCAGGTTGCATTGTGGGTAATGTAGGCACCATGCTTTCACAAGGAAGAAGAATGCATAGATTAAATAAGACAGTATCTCTGTTCTGATCCATCATTTTTGTCCATCATTAATTGAACAGTATTATAGCAGTGTGATGCTAAATTAGTGGAGTACTGCTTGAACTATCTCTGTGTACCATTATTGTATCTTTCCTAGAAAAAGAATTAAGCATTAATAGGCAATATTTGCATGCATTTAAAAAAATAAAATAAAATCCAAAACAAAACCCAACACACAAGTACAATGCAGTCTACGGATTTCAAATTCTACATTTCTGCCCATCTTGCCTTCTTCAGGACACAAAATGTTGACTCACAGAATCAACAGAAAGAGAGTTATAAGGTTGGAGGTTTGACCCCCAACTTATTCTGTCAAGATGTCAAAGGGTCCTTGAGCCAGACACTTAAGCCGAAATTGCTCCCAGTGAGTGTGTGTGTTTGGTTGCTTTAAGTGTTTACAAAGGAAATGGATGTGATGTGGAAATAAGATTGAAAATACTCTGAATTAAATCTGAATTTTAAAGAAAAGGGCCTCCCAAGTTATGGGTGTGTTTTTTCTCCTCTTTCTTTTGTTGTTTACCTGCAAGCTAGAAGTAGAACAGATGTGTTTTCTCTCACTTCTCAAAACAAAAAAAACACACTCATTGGATCAGCTCAAATCATGTACTGAATCTGCAGTAGTAAAAAAAACACATCCCATTTGCTTTACAACAACTAAATTAATTTATTGTGCCCAAATAAAATTCCCTCCACCCACAGAAAGTAATGAAGTTTGTAATGGAGAAATACAAAACGGCCTCATTAACACAGTCTCTCATCATATTTTAATTACAGCACACTGTTGCTAATGTGTAAATACTTTTAACTTTTAATGAATGCCTTATGGTCAACACACACAAAAAAAATTGTGTGTATGAATGCTTTAATTTATTCATATCCAACCATTCTTTTTCCATCCAGGCAACATTCATGGTTCGTCTGCCGCCCCTGGGTCTGGCCGTGTTCCATCTGTATGACTCTGCTGACTCGCCGATGACGCTCCGCTCCGACACCCTGCTCAGGCTGTCTGGTCGGGGCGCCAGTGCTCGAGCGGCGGATCCGCTTCCCGTCCGCTCTCAGCAGTCCGACCCTCAGACCTTCTACATCAGCAGCCAGTCTCTCACGCTGGGTTTCTCTGGAACCAGCGGCCTGCTGGAGGTTTGAGTTTCATCGGCTCTTCCCTCTGTTGACTTTAAATACGAATTAAAGATTTGCTCATCTGTTTTGACTTTGATCTTTTTTGGGGGAAAAAAACACACTCTTGATTTCCTAATAAACCCTGGTTGTTTGATCAGCCACTGCTACTCAAACATCCTTTCATCTCATTTCTAATTCGATTCTGCTCTGTCTTCCTTCTTCATGGCTTTTTTTTTGCAGAGTATCAAGCGCAAGGATGATCCTCAGGAAGTGAAGGTTCAAATGCAGTTCATGGTCTACAGCACTCGTCCCTCCAAAGACAAAAGTGGAGCTTATCTCTTCCTACCTGATGGAAAAGCAAAGGTATTCTCTCAGTTGTTGAATCTCAGATGTTTACTTGCCTCTCAAAAGGCTTTGATAGACGCTCCCTTGTGTGTTGCGTGGTTGTATCATGCTGGGGTGCTCGGGGCAGGAAGCCAGACAGCACTGGGTGCTGCTTCATATGTTTCGTGATTTAAAGACAGAGTGTTAAACAGAGTGTAAGGGCTTTGCTGCCAGACTGTACCTAGTCTCTTGTTCCGCTGGTGGCTCCTGCTACTTCTCTCTCCCTGTCCCTTTTTTAGCACTTTCTCTCTCCCTGCTTTCAGCCCTACAACCAGAAAGAGCCACCTGTGGTGCGCGTCGTGGAGGGGCCTCTCTTCTCTGAGGTGGTGGCACACTACCAACATTTTCAGCAGACCATCCGCGTAAACAACATTCCAGGTAATGAACACACAAAAATGTACAATGGAATCGGGTCAAATGGCTTTTGAGAAAGAATGTTATGTTTTAGTTAAAGGCACCAGATGGTACAGTACAACAAGGGCCAATATGTTTGACAAAATGACACTTACTACATTTCAATTAGGTACTTTTTTTCCTGTCAGCTGTAAAAATGCAAAATGCAAAGTAGCATTTTTCATAGTTCAGATTATTTTTCCTCCGTGGCCTGAGTTTGGGTCTGTGGTTCTGTATTTTCAGGGGTGGATGGGTCGTCGATAGACATCACCACCATGGTGGACATCAGAGATCAGACTAATAAGGAGCTGGCAATGCGACTGGTCACTGACATCCAGAGTGGAGACGAGTTCTTCACAGACCTCAATGGCTTCCAGGTCAGCCCCACCCTCAGCAAAAGAGAAGAATAACTTTATTTGTATACTGTCAGAATATAACGAGATGTATCTCTGATTAAAGGGATGGTGAGTAGTTGATAACCTTTTTGAAACTGAGTGCAGTGGCATTTTTTTCTCTCAGGTTAAAAATCCCTGGCCTGATAATTTCAGATTTGACATATTGTGTCATTCTGTGTCTGATCGCTGCTTCTTGTAGATGCAGCCTCGTCACCACCACCTAAAGCTTCCCCTGCAGGCCAACTTCTATCCCATGCCCAGCCAGGCGTACATCCAGGACAGCAATCACCGCCTCACGCTGCACACAGCTCAGTCTCTGGGTGTCAGCAGCCTGGAGAGTGGTCTGTATTTTATTTTATTTTATTGTTTTAATGTTGTTGTTTTTTTTCTTCTTCTTCTTTTTAAGAAATTTATCCCTGAAGTGCACTCATCTCTTTTTCTTTGTTGAATGTCTCCA